GCTCTTGTTTTGAGGACGTCCTGGACAAAGGGGGCAGGGGCGGTTGTTATCTATCGTTTTGATGGCTTCAGAGACAGCATGAAAGGCGACCCCCAGGCCCACAGTGCGGATAAGGTACAGTACCCAGCACTGCGGGAGCCTTTGCACCCTTCCTGTCATAGCCCCACCCTTCTCTCCCTCTTTGCCTGACTGCTAATTAACTTTCTCTCCTGCCGGGGTCCTTTTCCTCTATCTGTGTCCCCTCCCCCTCGTAGCCCTCCCAGTGGTCTCTGGGTTGGCACCAGGCCACCAGGGCTGTTGATCCCTCTGTTCTCTGTGCCTCAAGTGGATCCCTCCCAGGGTTGGATCCCTCTTGGTGGCGGAACAAGGAGAGCAGCAGGGGCTGGTCAGCAGCTTGGCCTGGGCTGGCCACTCAGCAACTTTACGGCCTTGCGGAAGTCACTTTACCTTTCTGGGCCTCAGCTAACTCGACTGCAGAATGAGGATTTGACCTAAATGACTCTAATATCGGTGCCCTAGGAGTCCCATTAGATAGAGCTCATGGTTGGCTCCATCTTAAAGCTGGCATGGAGCAGGGTCAGTGGCTTCCCGTGTTGCCTAGCCAGGGAAGAGGAAGGACATAGCCAGGACACAGGGAAGTTTTTTTCAAGGGAGAAATGGTTTCACATGTGAGAAACTGGTTATCTCTCAAGCACGCAGCAGTGGAGACAGGCTGGTGCCAGCATATAGGGGAGTGGAACCTACCTGGCGTGTCACAAGCCCAGAGGTCAGTCAGAGTGCCAAAGAAGCTGAGAGCTGGCCTGGATTTCTTGAGGGTTCCAGTTAATTCCTGACTAGTGGAGCTGAATCGCATTGACAACAAAAGAATGAGTTCTCCGTGAAATGGGGAAAGTAGAATCATAGTAATAAGGGTACCCAGTGTGTGTGTGAGTCCACCTTAATGAATCTCATGACAGTTCTGCGTGGGAATTGGGGCGGGCCATACTGAGCTCATTTTACAGGTGAGGAGACAGAGGCCCAGGAAGTGTAAGTGGCGTGTCAGTGGGCCCTCAGCTTGTGAGTGGTGGTGGTAGACCTGGAAGGTTTGTCTCGGGTCCCGGAGCCCAGCCTTATACCTACACCCTTCAGGAGGGTTGAGACAAGGGGTTGGTGAAGAGGCCAACGTTGGCTTCCTAGCATTGGAAGGTATTTTGTGAGTAGTGCTTCAAGGCAAGAGACAAAAACCAAAAGTGAAAATTCAGTGTAGTTGTAGGTCACTAAGAAATAAAGCTTGGGAGCTGAATTTCCAGTTAAATACATGAGTGAAGTTTCACTTTCTTAAAAATGAAGAAACTGCTAACGATGTGACACCATTTCTGACTGGAGGTCGTGAAGTAGAAGCGAAATACAGGCTCTGTGCTGCAGGTCTGGACAACTGCAAGATCAATGTAGAAAGTCAGCTCAGATGATCTAAGACGGATTTGAAGATAACCCAGAACATTTTTTTTTTTGTCAATTGGTGGTGGTGGGAGCATTCAAGCGTCTCAATTTTCTGAAAAAATTGTCTGAAGATTTAACTTCATTTTCCTTGTCGGTACACAGTCTGAGTCTGGGCTGAATCATATTTTAATAGAATACATGAAGGAATAACTACAGTGTATCCCACGAGGCTAAGTTTCAGCCTAGTGCAGAGACCAGATCTGTACAGATACAACCGCTTTATCTTCTGAGAGGCTTTTTAACATTTTACAACCCATTTCTGTCCCCAAGGAAGTCCACCCAGTGCTTTTCATAAAAACATTCCGTACCACTGACATTCTTCACTTTATCAGGACTGCTGACTTTACAGTAAAAAGGGGGGAAATTCCAAACGACAGACCCAAGCCCTGAGAGCTCATTAATAAACTTAGTTGAGTGGAGAAATGGAAATATACCCAACTGCAGTGGAATTCAACTACCCATCCAGGCCTGCAAACAAAGGCCAGCTCACTGGTGGCTCTGAATTCTGTCCCTGAACTATGTGGTGTTGAATAAAGCTGGAAAGGCCGGGAAACATGAATGCATGGAAGAATCTTACGACTGCCTTTAGACGGCTGGTTTCTCAGAGGTGTTTATCACCCATCAGAGGGGTGCCCTCCCAGCATCCTAAGATTATAAGATTAAATTGATAGAAGAACTTCAGTTCTAACTCAAGACACAGGGCTGTGGGAAGAGAGTCACATACATTTTCAAGGTTTCTTGGAGTAGTGAACAACATTCATTGGCATTGGAATTCTTGCCCCCGTCAGGACCCACATCTGGATTCCACAGAACCTCTGCCAGAGAGCCAGCCCTGGGTGGAAGGATCCCTGGGGACCCAGTAATAATGCACCCCGTATTTGCATAAGGGAGCCCTGGTGGCGCAGTGGTTAAGAGCTCGGCTGCCTACCAAAAGGTCGGCAGTTCGAACCCACCAGCTGCTCCTTGGAAACCTGATGGGCAGTTCTACGGGATTGACTCGACAGCAGCGGGTTCGGTTGTGCTGGTTATTTGCACAATGCTCCCCAGGGCATAGTCGTGTATGATTGTCTAACTCCTTGCTAGACTGTGAGAGAATCGAGTGATTGATGTTAGCCTTCCTTAACCAAAAACCCAACTGGCTGTTGTCAAGCCAGTTCCAACTCATGGCGACCCCATCCGCGTGTTACGGAGTAGAGCTGCTCCATAGAATTTTCTTGGCTGTAATCTTTACAGAAGCAGATTGCCAGGCCTTTCTTCCATGGCACCACTGGGAGAGTTTAAACTGCCAACCTGAGGTTAGTAGTCACGTGCAATCAGTTTGCACCACCTAGGGACCTTCCTTAACAGAGAATAAAGAGAAGCCACTGGGGGATAAGATTATTCGTCTGCGGAATCTTGATGTGGCCTCAAATCTTGATCTTCTACCCCATTTTGGGAACTCTGTGGATAAAAAACTCACTTAAACGTACTCCCGGAGTGCAGGCGGCATCCTGAGTGCAAAAATCAGCAGTTCATCCAGCAGAGCTCAGGTTTTCCGGCTCTCTGCTTATCTTCGCTCCGGTGCTGTCGTCCAGCTTCCCACCCCACTTCCACACCTGCCTCCTAAAAAGTTTGCTCTGTTTTTTGTTTGTTTGCTTGTTTTTTTAAATATTCGATATTCTCTAAGTTATGGGCATGAGCTCTAGAGTCAGACAAACCTAATCCCAAGTCCTGGCACTGCCTCGTTTTGTCTCTAAGACTTTGGGCAAATTACTTAGCTGCAGATACCTCACCTGTAAAATGGGCTAGCACCTGACTCACTGGATTCTTGTGAGGATTCAATGAGAGAAAGCGCACAAGGTTCTGGAATGAAGGAGGCACTCGATAAACATTAGGGATTTGCCAGAGGACTTCCTGTCGGCTGGACTTGGTTAATGACCGCAGGTCCCAGATTGAGGGCCACCGGAGTGAAGTGCCTGCCCCAACAATCCCCACACTCACTGCCCCTCGAGAAGTGCAGAGATGAGGGGGGTGGTTACTGTGGCCTCCCTCCCAAAGAGCAGCTCTTCATTCAAGAGTGTACATGGCAGGGGGAGATTCATGGGTGACTGAGTCCCCGGGCGATGTACAAGGTTAACGTGCTCACTGCTAACCAAAAGGTTGGAGCTTCACTTCCAGCCAGAGGTGCCTTGGAAGAAAGATGATGACGTGCTTCCAAAAAATCAGCCACTGAAAACTGCTTGGAGTGCAGTTCTGCTCTGACACACGTGGGGTCGCCACGAGCCAGAATCGATTTGACACGGCAACTGGTTTTCCAGATTGGAACTGTGGAACCGTTTCTGCTGTCCCTTTGGATTCTCTGAGCTATAGAATGGTAGAGCTAGAAGGGACCGTGGAGGCATTTCATTCAACTGCCCCCTCCCCATTTTTTAAGTTCAGTCAGGTGGTCTCCAGCCGGTCAGTGGGCATCGTGAGCAGACATGGCCAGGCGCGGGGTCAGACTCTGGGACACAGTGATGGAAGAGACTGCCCCTGCCCTGAGGAGCGCTCAGCCACACACCAGAAGAAGACTGAGTTTCAGAGAGCTGAGGAGACTGATCCGAGTCACACCGCTCCTTAGTGGCAGAGCCAGGCCTGCTCCCCACCCCTGCTATGCCCCAGCCCAGGCCTCTCTGTAAACCACAGGGCTGAACAACCCCTTCAGATGTCCACATCCTTGGCTCTTCACTTGCTGGACTCTGAGGTCTTCCTGCACCAACCTTAACCTTAAGAAGAGGCTACTAGTCACCTGGTGGCCTGACTCCTCACCCCTCACCACCCGCCAAGGACTGAGGAGGACAGCTCCTAAGACAGAGGCGTCAGAAGTACGCCTGCGAAAGTGAGGCACCCCTTTCCTTGCCTTTTACGTCCACTCGCTGATAGATTCAGCTTGATTTCAGATACCTTCTAAGCTTCTTTTTGAAAAAGAGGCTGAAAATGGGGTTACATAATAGTCTCCCTGATTTAGCAAAATAAAATAAAATTGCTGCTTTCGGATGCCTGGGTGACACAAGCGGTTTGTGGTTGCGTGCTAACCTGAAGGTTGGCGGTTCGAACCCACCCAGGGATACCGCAGAAGGAAAGTCCTGGCTATTTGCTTCCTTAATGATTACAGCCAAGAAAACCCTATGGAGCAGTTCTGCTCTGTGACATATGGGGCCACCAGGAATTGGAATTGACTGGAGGGTGACTAACAACACAGTTGTTTTCAAAACTGTTTGAGGCTACATTTGCATATACCGTATATACGCGCACTGGCAAACACTAGTTGCCCTTCTGAGTTCAGAGTAGCCCAAAAGGTCAACTCTCATGAACTTGAGTGAGGCCTTTTATCCGCGTCACTGACCTCTGTATTTGAAGAACCTGTTTCATTCGAGATGAGGCTAGCGTGAAACGAAAACTAGCAGAACCCGGGGGAGTGGGGGGGTGCGCGTGGCTATGGGACTTCCTGTGGGGGTGGGGGGTCTGGTGATAGAGGTTGCAGGGGGACGTGATCCCATGCCCCAAAACCCATGAAGCAGTTTTCGTTTTGATGTGTCTTTCAGCAAAATGATGCTTCAACACCCAGGCCAGGTCTCTGCCTCAGAAGTCAGTGCCTCTGCCATCGTCCCCTGCCTGTCTCCTCCGGGGTCACTGGTGTTTGAGGACTTTGCCAACCTGACACCCTTTGTCAAGGAGGAACTGAGGTTCGCCATCCAGAACAAGCACCTCTGCCACCGGATGTCGTCTGCGCTGGAGTCGGTCACGGTCAGCGACAGACCCCTGGAGATGTCGGTCACGAAAGCCGAGGTAGGTTCTACCCCGGTTCTCGTTCTGTCAGCACATGCTTTGTGCATGCCCACCATGTGCCAGGCACGTTCCAGGCAGGGGGCCACGGCAGCAAATAAAACAAACAAAACCACTGCCCTCAGAGAGCTTACCTTCTCCTGGGAGGAGGTGACAGTACATGAAACAGGAAAATATGTCGTGTGAGAGACAAGTGCAAAGAAGAATGATAAAGCAGGGAAGGGCACGGGGAGGTTGGGGCGGGGTGGGCTTGCTGTTTTAAATCAAGGAGGTCAGAGAAGTCTTGGCTGACAGCAGCCTTTGCTTTGAGCAGACTTGGAGGAGAGGGACACCTGACAGGGGAGAAGGGCACTGAGGTGGGGGTGAGGCTGACATACCTTGACGAGCAGCAGATGGGCCGGGAGGCTGGGGTAGAGAGGGGGGTGGGGGCGGAGTTGGAGCTGACGTAGTGGGTGGAGGGCAGATTGTGTTGGGTCTTGTAGACTAGTGTAAAGATATGACCATTTAGTCACAGTGAGCTAGGAAGTCATTGGAGGTTTATGAGCAGAGGAGTGACATGATCCAACATACGATTTTAAATGGTCATCTTGGCCGCCATGTTGAAAACAGATGGTTAGGGGTGAGAGCAGAAGCAGAGTGTAGAGAAAGGAGACCACCACAGCAGTCCAGGCGGGAGATGAGGGGCTCTGAGTCAAGATGGGCAGCAGAGGGGCTGAGACGTGTTGGATTCTAGGTCTGTTTTGAAGGTAAAGCTGATTTACTGGTAGATGGGATGTAGGGTGTGAGAGAAGGAGAAGACTCAAGGAGGACTCCAACGTGTTTGGTCTCAGCAGCTCTAAGGGCAGAGTGCCCACTTGCTGGGTAGACTGTAGAGGTGGGATGAGAGCAACAGCAGGGGTCGGGTCCCATTCGACACCCAGTGGAGGTGTCAAGAAGACCGTGGACATGTAGGTCTGAAGTTCAGAGGAGAGCCAGGGCTAGAGATAGAAAGCTGGAAGCCATCATGTGGATGGTATTTACTGCCCTGAGATGGTGTGAGAAGCATGGAGTGTGGTGATTCTTTTCACTGCTCAGGGATCCAGGTACCCAGAACATGGAGCAAGGCCTAGCTGGCCAGCCCCCACCTTCTGCAGCAGCACTCTCAGCCCTGGTACCAGGTGTCCGCTCCAAGCTCAGTTCTGTCTGTGGCACTTGCACTGTTCCCCACTCAGCGATCTTCTGTGGGACACCTGGGGGTAATGGGCGGGTGCGGTGAGAAGTCAGGGAGGGAGTTGCTAGCAGTGCTGTGGTGCTCAAGAACGTCAGAGCTGAAGTCCCAGCTGCTTTTTTGGTCTTTCATTCATGGTTGCAAAGTGAAGACCCATATAAGGTGGTTCAGAGACGGAAGTGTTTCAAGTTTACTTAACTGACAAGTTCACAGCCTTGGGCTAGGGGTGGTGGAACTGACCAAAAAGACTAAGTTTAAAAGGAGGTTGATTCAGAATCTAAACCGTTGCAGTCGAGTCAATGCCGACTCATAATGACCCTATAGGACAGAGTAGAACCACCCCATACAGTTTCCAAGGAGCAGCTGGTGGATTCAAACTGCCCACCTTTTTTGGTTAGCAACCGTAGCTCTTAACCACTGTGCCACCAGGGCTCAAGAATCTAAAAGGGGAGTAATAATGACTCCTGCACAGGATTGATCTGAGGGTTAAACGAGATGACATTTGTTCAGGGTTGAGCAGAGGGCCTGGCTGGTATTTAACATTCAGTGAACAGTAGCTAGGACTACTGTGTGATGCCGTGTCCATAAAGCTTCATTAGGGGCCTTGGCTGTGCCCCACTTCTCCTCAGAGGAGATCACAGTCATTGGTGCCCAGTCCAGTACCGGACAGTGCAGGGGGGACCATGAAACACTCAGGGAGATTTTGTTTTAATCAACTATCTAGAGATAAGAGGATGCAATGGAAGTGGTCCCTAGAGAAGGATGTCATGCTGGGTAAAGTAGAGGGTCAGTAAAAAAGAGGAAGACCCTCAATGAGATGGACTGACACAGTGGCTGCAACAATGGGCTCAAACACAGCAACAATTGTGAGGATGGCGCAGGACTGGGCAGTGTTTCCTTCTGTTGTACGTGGGGTCACTGTGAGTAAGCTTGCTTAATGGAAACACTCCTTAAAGCCAGCCAGCCCGTCTGCTCTGGTTCTGTGTTCGCCAAGTGGCCTTGTAGTCCTAAGTCAGTTAAGTGGGTTTCCCTGCTGGGAGGAGAACACATCAGCTGGAGTTCTGATCCCTTGGTTGCTGTAATTCTCATTTTAAAGGAAGACACGGAGCCATAGGAACCCACAGGCATCCTGCAGGTTTGGGCAGCATGAACCTGTTTCCCAGATCCCAGCCTCCTCTGGGAAGGTGACAAGGCACAGCGAGGCAGTTGTGATGAGGGACACAGGCAGGGCGGCAGGGGGACGATGCAGGAGGAGTAGATTCCCACTCAGAGCCACACGCTCCAAGACAGAGAAGACTGCCCCGTAGACACATTTCCCAGCAGAATGTTTCCTGCTCCGAATGATTGCACTCAGCACCGATAGTCATCAATTTGAATATCAAACTCTTAGTTCTAAACCCAAATGTGTGTTTAAAATAGATTAACATTTTGATTTACTAACATTGCCAATGTTGGAAACCCTGGTGGCGCAGCGGTTAAGAGCTCGGCTGCTAACCAAAAGGTCGGCAGTTCCAATCCACCAGGCGCTCCTTGGAAACCCTGTGGGGCAGTTCTCCTCTGTCCTGCAGGGTCGCTATGAGTCGGAATCGACTCCACAGCAACGGGTTGGGTTTGGTTTTTTGGTTTTAGGTTTAACGTTGCCAATATAATTTTATTTCTAACTGACTGTTTTTTGATTTTCATTATTCATCCTCAGGTGTGCGTGTGTGTGTGGAGCAGCTTTTCACAAAAGTCTAGGGCCTTATTTTCTTCAGATCACTTAGTATTAGGGGCCACCCTGATCTGCCCGATTTTACTGGCAGTAAAAGGCAGTGCCCTTGGGGTAGGTGGCATTTCTTGCTTCCTGTGAAGTGTCTGAAGCTCCCTAGGTGGCAAAAATGGTTTGCGCTCAACTCTGCTCACCCAAAGGTTGGCTGTTGGAACCCACTCAGCAGTGCTGCAGACACAAAGGCCTGGTGATCTGCTTCGGTAAAGATTACAGCCAAGACAACCCTGTGGCGCAGCTGTGCTGTGTAACACGTGGGCTCGCCACGAGTCGGAATCGACCGGACAGCCGTGGGTTTGGGTTTGGTTTCGATTATTAAGCATGTGCCGTTTGGGTTTTATAGGTGGCTCCTGAGGAAGATGAGCGGAAAAAGCGGCGACGGGAACGGAATAAGATCGCAGCCGCTAAGTGCCGAAACAAGAAGAAGGAGAAGACCGAGTGCCTGCAAAAAGTGAGCGCCTTCTAGCCTTATCCGTTCTGCTTGGTCATGCCTGCCCACCCCTAACCTCATGATGGTATCAGAAAGGGACTTAAAAAAAGCCTACCAGCAAGTGTTTTCCCAAGAAGGACCTTAGAATTGGTAGCAGAAAGGCCAGGTGATGGACGAGGAGGCAGCAAAGCTGTTAGCGCAACGAATGTGACTCTGGTATAAAAGCAGGCGTGTGAATTCAAGGCCACAGAATTGTCTCATGGCCACACTCCGGCAGCCTCGGCCGGTCCAAACACGTCCAGCAGGTTGCAGGCTGCAGGGTACGTCTGCCCAGTTGTGGAGGCTTCTCGCCCTGCTTTCCTGAGAAAAGCTGCCAGGCCTCGTTTGACTTGCTTTGAAAAGCCTTTAATCAGTCTCTTCAAACAAGTGATTTCCTTAATTCTCAAGCCGTGGTTACACTTTCCTGGGACCCCTGTCTCATTCGTAGCTCTGCAGCCCTTCTTCCCGTCTCACCCACCAGTCTGAGCCTCCGGCTGAGGTCAGCTGCTCCCCTTCCTGATGCGACAAGCGCCGGGAGCATTAGCATCTAGGGGCAGGCTGGGCGGGCTGGGATGCCAGGAGGCCTTTCCAGGGCTGTGCCCGTTCCCCCAAGCATGGACAGGCGAGGACAGAGTTTTAACCCAGGTCTGCACACCCCCAAGGATTCTGTTGCTTGCCCCAGGGGTCAGTGAAAATTATGAAATTTTGTGTCTCTGTGCACATTTTCCTGGGGAAAGGAGCTTCTCAGTGAGATTAGCAATTCACAAGAAATTAAGGACCGTGAGCTAGATTTCTCCCCAGCCCCCAAGGCCCTTGCAGGCCCAGAAGACCTACATGTGGGCTCTTGGGCTCCATGCAGAAGAGATTTCTCAACCATTGGTGCTACTGAAGGTTTGTTGCCAGTAGAGTCACAGCTGCCTCTGTGGTAGAAACCCAAGGGCATCTCTGAAGAATCCTCCAAGTTCAAAGGCTTCTCCAGGGCCTGGATTCTCCCAGACTGAGTGCTGCTCTCCCAGCTTTGTGGGGCATTGTAGCAGAGACAGTGGTGGTCCCTCTCCAGGCCACTCCCTGCTTGAAGAGGCCTGAGGGGCCCCAGGGACTCCCCCTGCCACCAGGCAGTGCCCCTGGGTCACCCCCTCTTCCCTGGCCCTTCGGCTCCATTCCTAACGCCTCTCTTGTCCCCCAGGAGTCGGAGAAGCTGGAGAGTGTGAATGCCGAACTGAAGGCCCAGATTGAGGAGCTCAAGAACGAGAAGCAGCATTTGATATACATGCTCAACCTCCATCGGCCCACCTGTATTGTCCGGGCTCAGAACGGGCGGACTCCGGAAGATGAGAGAAACCTCTTTATCCAACAGATAAAAGAAGGAACATTGTAAAGCTAAGCAGCCATGGTATGGGGGCAACTGGGGAGTCCTCACTGAATCCTCCTTTTACACCCCAAACCCGGAAGCTGTTGGAGATCTGATTCCTGTGCGCCTCTAGGATCCCAGCAGCAGAGACCCACGGAGGCAGGAGGGCCTCTGCCCTCGGCCCCAGGGTGGACTTTGGACCAGGGCGAGTGCATTGTTGCCTCAACTCCAGGTTTTAGGGTTGATCACAGTGGCCATTCTTAGATGCTCCGGGTGGCCCCTGGGACGGTCCTGCCCACCTTTCCTTCGGATTCGACAAAACCCAGGAGTCCCACCATTAGGATTCATGCAAGACAGTGTCCGTACCTTGGGCGGGACGGGCCGTCTCCTCTGCCGCTGCAGTCACTGGTGGGGAAATGGGGTGAGAATGGTGGCCAGCAGGTTGTGCAACAGCCCGGGTTGTGCTTTCTAGCAAATATGCTGTTCTGTGCAGGAATCACTGTGTGCAAGGCGTTCGTTCCAGAACCGTGCATTGCGCTCGTTGATGTTTGTTTGTTCCGCACAGCCCTGGTGTGGCTTTTATAGGACTTTCTCAGATCCGATTCCTGAGGGTCTGGAGACTGTCCCCATGTGCAGTGTCTTACAGAGTGTTCGGGGGCTCGAGGGGCTTGTGAGCCCCGGCAGACAGAATCCCCTGCAGGCCCGCTACATGGCTCTGCCAGCGGGGAAGGCTGCCTTTTCCCTGGCTCCCAGGCGTTCATGTGAAATCCATGGGCGTGATTGTAGGCCCCCTGCCGCAAATTCAGTTGTAATATCACAGGAAGGATGCAGAAAGAAAGAGCCAGCTTCCAAGGGGTCAGGACTGCTCCGTGACTTAGGTCAGGAGGTGTTTGGAGGCCGAAGAACCAGAGAATTCCACTTTTCTTGCGGTTGAAAACCACCGTCAGGGGAGACATGTTTGAAGCCAGGGGATGTCCAGGCTTTTGCATTATTGGCTGCTGATGGCATTGTTTATGTCATTTAGATGTTTTTAAAAATCTGGCGCAGAGCATTTGCCGCTGTGAGAAGATGCGCTGGTCACAAAGACTGGCTACTGTCTGGCTGTGGAAATTCTGATGTTTCTGTGAAATCCTCAGAGTGTTTAATCCTGCTCAATATTATCATTACAATTTTCTGTAAGAGAAACTATTACTTATTTATCCTAGTATTCTTAACCTGTCAATATAATAAATATTGGAACCGAGATGTGGTCAGCTGGTTTCTGTTCCGTTAGACCTGCTGGTTGCTGGGGTTTAGTTAATCCCCCCTCCATTTCGGGAGGATTTAAATATCCTCAAAGGGTCAGCTTTGTTCCTTGAGGTGCCATGAGGTGCGATCGTTGGCCATAAATCCTGTTCCTCAGTCAAAGGCACCCAATTGCTCAATTTCCCGTCAACAGACCCTGAAACACAGTCCCAAGTATATCCTTTAGACAAACTGTTCCGTGTTAAGATAGATTTTTGATAATAAAACCTGAATTGCTAAATACCTCAACTATCAGTTTCTCTGAATGTACAGACCTCTAAAATGTACAGCCTGTTGTTCAACTTAGAACTTTGATTCCTTACATGCTGCCTCAGAACGCCTCTTAAAGTATTATCCACTTGAATTACATCTGTTACAGTGTCCAAATGTGTGCCTTGTTGCAAATATGTATTTCAAATATCAGGAAAGAATTAGGTGGGGGCAGAGAGGAAGAAAGAGAAAAATGTTAGGATGGGTGTGATAATTCAAAGAAAGGTATTCTACCTGATTTCCTGGAGTTTTCAGGGCATAGGATTCCTTAAACTCGCTGCCACCAAGTTGATTCCGACTCATAGCGACCCTATAGGACAGAATAGAACTGCCCCCTACGGTTTCCAAGGCTGTAATCTTTATGGAAGTGGATGGCCACATCTTTCTCCTATGGAGCGCCTGGCGGATTCGAACCACCAACTTTTTGGTTGGCAGCCGAGCGCTTTAACCGCTGTGCAACCATGGTTAAGCTGCCATGGACAACCATGGATTTGAGAGGAAGGCAGGTGGTGGGACCTAGGGCAGGAAAACTGGTCTGAGAAACGCACTGTTCACGGTTAGTGTAACTAAGTTCTTTCAACAAATGCATTAAAGGCCGTTTTGTTTTCTGTAGACAAGTCTGTTACGTTTTGATACTTCAATAATAATAAAATGATGGATATGTATTTACTGTCAAATTGTTTAGTTCATCTTGCTTCACATTCGAAGGAGAGGGAAGAACGGGGGTCCGAGAGCAGCAGCTTTGATGGGGTTTCCACCAGACCCAGCCCGCCAGCCACCCAGTGTGACAATGCCTCTCCCAGGCTGCCTCCTGCCGGCTGGTGACGTCACACTGGGGGAGCATGGAAACCCCACCCTCCGTCCCCACCTTCCTCCCACCCCTTGTCGTGCCCTGAGATCTGGCCTGACACCTGTTCAGAGTGAAGAACTTGAAAGGGTCCAGGACAGGGTTTCTGGAATGAGATCCTCTCACTTGCCATCAAGAGGTAAAATGCTGAATATTTTCCATCTTGTCTCGATGTCCCCCCTTGGGCTTTGAATATGCCCTTGCAAACCCAGACCCCTGTCCTCTGATTGGTGTTCTCCAAGGGCTGTTTCTCTGTGGAGTGAATAGTGCTCTCCAGCCAGGCTCTGCCTGAGCTGAAACCTCAAAGGAGGCCGAGTTTGTCTTTGTGGAGCCTTCTGTGTGAGAACACAGAAGCTTCCCTATTTGACCAAAAAAACTGCTCTCAGGAACAGGTTCACACTAGGGTGAAAAGGAGTGTTCAGGATGAGTGCTAACAATCCATGGAGCCGCACAACATGCTAATTACTTCACCTGCATTGTCCCATTCGCAGTGCTTAAGGGTTGGCTGCTAACCGAAAGGTCGGCAGTTAGAATCCACCAGTTGCTCCTTGGAAACCCTATGGGGCAGTTCTACTCTGTCTTACAGGGTCTCTATGAGTCAGAATCGACTCGACGGCAATGGGTTTGGTTTTTTTGTTTTACAGCTGTTATTAGGAGCCCCTGGGTGGGGCAAACGGTTAAGTGGTCTTCTGCTAACAGAAAGGTAGTCGTTCAAATCCACCCAGAGGTGCCTTGCAAGAAAAGCCTGGCAATCTACTTCCAAAAGATCACAGACATTGAAAACCCTATGGAGCGCAGTTCTACTCTGCACACCACGGGGTCACCGTAAATTGGAATCTACTTGGCAGTAACTTTTTTTTTTTTTTAACAGCTGTTATCCCCGTTTTACAGACGAGGAAGTGGAGCGTTAAGTAACGTGCTCCAAGTCACCAGGTGATCTTTCTAATGCTGAAGTCTGTGTCTTTTAACCATGATAGCTCCAAGCAGGCGTGTGTATTTTAACAGGCAGCCTTTATCCTCAAGAAATGAGTCTAAGGTGTGGTTTCAGCCATAACATCAAACTGGTAGAGAAGTCTTGGGAGCGGGGTCCTTCTCAGGACTTTCACGAAACAGCTTGGAGCCCACCCATTCGGTGGTTAGCTCTGTGGGAGGGGCAACAAGGCGGGAGGTGGAGCGGAAGGCACTCCCGTGGGTGTAAACGGCTCCCAAGCCACTTCTGCATCGTAGGGAGGTGAGGACAGGAGGCTGTTTGTAGGTCCCTGGAACTGAAGCTTACACTTCCTGATTGTCCTCCTTTCACTGAAGAGAGAATAACTGGGTGCTAGCACACAGGCTGCTTGTGTACATGCATAGTGGAGGCGAGGAATTGAGGTGCTGTCTTAGTCATCTAGTGCCGCTATAACAGAACTACCACAAGTGGGTGGCTTTAACAACGGGAAATTTATTCTCTCACAGTCTAGGAGGCTACAAGTCCAAATTCAGGGTGCCAGCTCCAGGGGAAGGCTTTCTCTCTCTGTCGGCTCTGGGGGAAGGTCCTTGTCATCGATCTTCCCTTGGTCTAGGAGCTTCTCAGTGCAGGGACCCCAAGTCCAAAGGACACACTCGGCTCCCGATGCTGCTTTCTTGGTGGTATGAGGTCCCTATGTCTCTCTGCTCGCTTCTCTCTTTTATATCTCAAAAGAGATTAGCTCAAGACAAAATCCAATCTTATAGACTGATCCTTACCATAACTGCCGCTAATCCCATCTCATTAACATCATAGAGATAGGATTTACAACACATAGGAAAATCACATCAGATGACAAGATGGTGGACAATCACATAGTACTGGGAATCATGGTCTAGCCAAATTGATACAGATATTTTTGGGGGACACAATTCAATCCATGATAGGTAGCACCTGAATATTTAATCCCCAATTCACCCCAGCCACTGAGGAAAAAGATTGTCTGAAGGAGCTATCTGGGTTCTTCATAACAGAGGGTATTACTTATGCAACTGCCCATAATGCACCAAGTTGGCCTTTTTGAAGGTAGTTAGATAAGTCCAGTAGGAAAACCTTTGTCTGGCCCATGCCTTCTTTGTGAAGCAAAGTACTATAGCAGTTCAGAAAAAAAGGCTTTAGGTCAGCTGGACTTGGTGCAAATAGTTAAGAACTAGGCTACTAACCAAAAGGTTGGCAGTTCAAATCCACCCAGAGGTGCCTTGGAAGAAAGGCCTGGTGATCTGCTTCCAAAAGATCACAGACATTGAAAACTCTACGGGGCACAGTTCTACTCTGTCACACATGGAGTTGCCGTGAGTCGGAATCAACCTGAAGGCAACTGGTAGACTTGGTTTCAAATACTGCCTCCACCACCTGTTAGTTTGCTGACTACAGGCAAGTGTTACCATCTCAGCTTCTTTACTTGTAAAAGGGAGACAGTAATAATGGTGCCAAACTCAGTGAGTTCTTCTGATAACGTATGTGAGGCACACACCATGGTGCCAAGGGGAAACCTTTCTGATATTATCACTAAAGGTCTTTACTGTCAACATTTACTGAGATTTTATAGAAGAAAGGGCTAAGGGCCAAGACTGTCAATTCTAGGTATTCAACCAAATTAAGCCATGAGCTCAAATGTGTCCAGTTATTCCATCGTCTTGCATTCCTCGAGCCTTGGTGGAGTTGCTGAATCTTTGGAATTTGAAAAGAAAAAAGCACCAACACAGAATTTTCTTATTTGAAAAGAAATCCTATTTTGGCACCTTCCAGAGATGCCTCTGCGGAGAGGCAAAGAGGTGTTTGTGGGGAAGACGGGGGCCCTGCCCTGAGGGGTAGCTGGGGGGACAGGAACAAAGGGGTATATGACAGTGACAGCTCACAAAGGGCAGCCGGGGATAAATACAGCTGCGCAGGGGACTCAGGCTGAGAGGGCTGTCACCTCTCTCGCCAGGACTGCTGTTTGCAGCTCCTCAAAGAGATCCAAGTCAGGCGGAAAACTTCTCTGGAGCCCACCCAACATCTCTCCACCCTAGAAGAGATTCTGCGTGGTGCCCAAGCCCCTTGTGGCCTCCCCACAGCAAACATCCACACCCTCACCCCAGCCACGCCCAAAGGTGCCTGTAGCGGGGAGTTGAGAGACCCGTGTGGAGCCACCCTTGGCCCAGGAGCACCGCTGACCCCTCGTCTGCCAACGAGACCAAGGAAGACCAGACCCACCACCGTGCCAGTGCTGCTGCAGGGCCAGGAGGCGGCCGCCATGAGCAGTGATTCTCTGTTACCGTATTACACGGCACAGAGCAGCTCTGCCGTGGGGCTCTTCAACACCGCCATGGGGAAGCTGCAGCGGCAGCTGTACAAGGGGGAGTACGACATATTCAAGTACGCACCCATTTTTGAGAGCGACTTCATCCAGATCACCAAACGGGGAGAGGTGATTGATGTGCACAACCGCGTCCGGATGGTGACGGTGGGCATTGCCTGCACCAGCCCCATCCTCGCCTTGCCTGATGTCATGCTGCTGGCCCGGCCAGCCACTGGCTGTGAGGAGGATGGCGGCCGGGCCCCCAGGGGAAGAGGCCGCAAGGCTGCCAAGACCTTAGAGCTCACCCGGCTCCTGCCCTTGAAGTTTGTCAAGATCTCCGTCCACGACCGTGAGAAGCAGCAGCTGCGCCTGAAGTTTGCCACGGGCCGCTCTTGCTACCTGCAGCTGTGTCCCCCTCTGGATGCCCGCGAAGACCTCTTCGCCTACTGGGAGAAGCTCGTTTACCTCCTGCGGCCCCCCGTGGACGGTAACAACAGCACCTACGCCATTCCAGCTGGTGACATGATCTGCATGCCTGTGTTTGAGGACCGGCAGGACAGGCCGAGCCCGGGACCAGTGGATGTCGGTGGGAAGGGGGATCAGGACCAGGTGAGCATCAGGAGCCTCCACGTGTTCTCGGAGGTGTCTGGCGTCACCTCCGCTGCTTTTGCTGGTGGGGAGGGGATCCAAAACGCCACCCACAAACCTACCCCGAACACAAAACCCGCAGAGCCTGCCACGAGGGCGGCAGTAAGGACGGTAACGAGCCCCACAGCAGGCACTGTGAGCGTGGCGGCCACCAAGGCTGCAGGACAGCAGCAGACGCACACAGCGATAGCAGGAGCAGCCTCCAAGGACGCCAGAGGGAGCCGAAGCAGCCTCGCCATTGCAGGCGCTGCCAACGTGTCCTCGCAGAGCATCGAGGGGGCTGTGGCAGCGGCTGCAAGCAGGTCCTCAGAGCTCACCAGCCTCTCTCCGGAAGCCAGCACGAACGTGGCGATTGCAGGAGCAGAGTCTGCGGGTGAGACTGGTGTAGAACCAGCTGACGATCCAGCCGCAGAGCCTCTGGTCTCAGCCTTGCCCAGCGGAGGCATCATGAGTGGGGAGGATGGAAACCAGCGAGGCCCCCAGCCCAACATTGCAGCCCGCAGGGAGCGAAGGGCAAGGCGGGAGCGAAGGGAAAAGGGCACAGCGCTCAGTCGGAGGAGCTCCCGACACCGCGGGACGGGCAAGAGTCGCCACAAGACAGAAGGTGACAGGATGAGCGGGAAGTCTTCTGGCCGGTCCATAGGCAGCCGCAGAGCCACTAGAGATGACCAAAAGGACAGAGGCCGTGGCAGCCCCGGGGGCAGCAGACACTCCTCGGCTCACAAAGGCGTCAGCCACACACCCATCGCAAAGGAGTCCGGGAGGAGCCTCTCTGCCAGGAGTTCACGTTCAACGACCAAGAGCCTCAGCAGGATCAGCTCTTTCCTGAGGAACGTCAGAGCCAGCCTGACCACGAGAACAGGGGCCTCACCTCGGGACAGAGGGGTGGACATTCTGTCTCAGACGGTGGAGAAGAGGAACGTGGAGGCCATCATGGAGACAGCAGAGGGTGAGCAGGGACTGGAGATCACGAGTACTGTGACGTCTGAGATCATGGAGACAGTGACCTTTGAAACCCACTAAATGGAGCCAGAGTTGGAAGCTGCAAAGGGGGCTGGGGCTCAGGAAGAATCCCTGGACTGCAGTTTAAATATTAAAATAATAAATTTACGATTTCAGGATGGCATGCTGTGTTTGACTTTCCATGTCCCGTAGCCTGGTGGTGACGTCACAGTGGATTCTGTGACGTCAGCCCCACCTCACATCCACTCACACCATGCTCGGTGGAGCCAGCGTGAGTGCCCCATCCTGCCTCCTGAGGTTATGGCCAGGAAGCTCCACCGCCTTCTCCTCTCCCTGTTATAAACTTCTTTCCCCTGAAGGTCCACAGGGGGACAAGGTGCATCATGAACAAGAATAGGACTCATTCCCCTTCAGGGCATTCATGGGAGGGAGGAGGGGTGCAGCAGCATTTGCCGGCAATCAGAACAGGGCAGACTAGGTGGCTTATAAGGACAGAGCCCTGGTGGTTAACAGTTCAGCTGCTAACCAAAAGGTCAGCATTTCAAATCCACCAGTCACTCCTTGGAAACTCTATGGGGCAGTTCTACTGTCCTATAGGGCCGCTATGAGTTGGGATCGACTCAATGGCAGTGGGTTTGGTTTTCGGTTTTTGTATAAGGAACAGATATATTGCTCATAGCTCTGGAGACTAGTAAGTCCAAATCGATGTGTGGGCCAGGCCATACTCCCTCTGAGGTTTTCAGGGGCAAATCCTTTCTTGTCTCCCCCAGCTTGTGGTGGCCCCAGTGTTGCTTGGCTGCTTAATGCACCTTCACAGGTTGTCTTTCCTTTGTCTCTGTGTCTCGTCTTTTATAGGGACACCACGATGATTGAATTAGGATCCACCCTATTCCAGTGTTTCCAAACAAGGTCATGTTCACACAACCAGGGATTAGGATTTTAACATTTTGGGGAACACAACTCAATCCATAGGCCAGGAGCAATTCTACTCTTGGGTATTGACCCTGGAGAAACTGGAAACAATCCAAATTTCCATCAATGGGATAATTGGTAATACAGTGGGATATGAATAGAGTAGAATATTATACAACAAAAAATGAATAGTAGCTGCACACATTATTAGCATAGATGAATCTCACAAAGTTTTTAAAAAGCAAGTCACAGAGAATCCGTACGGCATAATTTCACTCGTAGTGTACCTGATTGGTAGAACTGTTGTGGTATTAGTGCTGCTATAACAGAAATACAACAAATGGGTGGCTTTAATGAACAGAAATTTATTTTCTCAGTTTAGGAGGCTAGAAGTCCTAATGCAGGGCACCGGCTGTAGGCGAAGGCTTTCTCTCTCTGTTGGCTCTCTCCTTGTCTCTTCCCAGCTTCTGTTCCTTGGCGCCCTGGTGATCTTCATGTGGTGTGCCATCTATCTTCCATCTCTGCTAGCTTGCTTGCTTGCTTAATCTGCTCTTTTATATCTCAGCAGAGATTGATTTAAGACATAGCCTACACTAACATTGCCTCATTAACGTAACAAAGAAAGCCCATTCCCAAATGGGACTACAACCACAGGATGCTGTTGCTGTTAGGTGCCATCAAGTCAGTTCCAACTCATAGCGACCTACCCAGTCCTGTGCCATCCTCACAATCCTTGTTATGCTTGAGCCCATTGTTGCAGCCACTGGGTCAGTCCATCTCATTGAAGGTCTTCCTCTTTTTCACTGACCCTCTGCTTTACAGGCATGATGTCCTTCTCCAGGGACTGGTCCCTCCTGATAACATGTCCAAAGTACATGAGATGAAGTCTCGCCATTCTTGTTTCTAAGGAGCATTCTAGCTGTACTTCTTTTAAGACAGTTTTGTTCGTTCTTCTGCAAGTCCGTGGTATATTCAATATTCTTCGCCAACACCATAATTCAAAGGCATCCTTTCCTCTTTGGCCTGCCTTATTCATTGTCCAGCTTTTGCATGCATATGAGGCAATTGAAAACACCATGGCTTGGTTCAGGCACACCTTAGTCCTTAAAGTGACATCTTTGTGACATCTTCTCTTTTTAACACTTGAAAGCTGTCTTTTGCAACATATTTGCCCAATGCATCACACCATTTTATTTCTTAACTGCTGCTTCCGTAGGCATTGATTGTGGATCTAAGGAAAATGAAATCCTTGACAACTTCAATATTTTCTCTGATGTTGCTTATTGGTCCAGTTGTAAGCATTTTTGTTTCCTCTGTGTTGAAGTGTAGTCCATACTGAAGGCTGTAGTCTTTGATCTTCGTCAGTAAGTGCTTCAAGTCCTCTTCACTTTCAGCAAGTAACACTGTGGCATCTGCATATCACAGGTTGTTAGTCTTCCTCCAATCCTGATGCCCTGTTCTTCTTCATATAGTCTTTGGATTATTTGCTCATCATATTGATTGAATAAGTGTGGTGAGAGGACACAACCCTGACACACACACCTCTTCTGATTTTAAACATTCATGTATCCTCTTGTTTTGTTGGAATGACTGCCTCTTTGTCTATATACAGGTTCAGCATGAGCATGATTAAGTGCTCTGCAATTCCCATTCTTCCCAATGTTATCCATAATTTGTTATGATCCAGACAGTTGAATGCCTTTGCATAGTCAATAAAACACAGGTAAACATCTTTCTGGTATTCTCTGGCTTTCAGCCAAGATCCATATGACATCAGCAATGATGTCCCTTGTCCTCTTCTGAATACAGCTTGAATTTCTGAATTGAGAGACCATCTCAAGACTAGATTTGACACATTGAACACTAATGACCAAAGACCAGATGAGTTGTGGAATAACGTCAAGGACATCACACATGAAGAAAGCAAGAGGCCATTAAAGAGACAGGAAAGAAAGAAAAGACCAAAATGGATATCAGAAGACACTCTAAAACTTGTTATTGAACATAGAATAGCTAAAGAGAAAGGAAGAAATGATGAAGTAAAAGAGCTGAATAGAAGATTTCAAAGGGCGGCTCCAGAAGACAAAGTAAAGTATTATAATGAAATTATAATGAAATGTGCAAAGACCTGGAGTTAGCAAACAAAAAAGGAAGAACACATTCAGCATTTCTCAAGCTGAAAGAACTGAAGAAAAAATTCCAGCCTCGAGTTGCAATATTGAAGGATTCTACGGGGAAAATATTAAATGATGCAGGAAGCATCAAAAGAAGATGGAAGGGCCCAGTAAAACCATGAGAGTAACGAGGTACAGGAGTCCAGTGACAAGGCCCAGAAGGCAGAAGGGGAGTAGGAAGCTGATGATAGGGAACACAAAGTA